CGAATTCTGTTACTTCTGCAAAGAACAATACGTTAAAAGTGGCATTACCATTATCGTTATTAAAAAATTGTAATATTATTATCATAATCGTAATTAATTATAGTTACGATTATGATAATGACATTACAATTTTTAATCTGCGCTCCAGTATCAATGCCCTTCTCGTCCTGAAGTGAAACGGTTCACGAAACGTTGACTTTAGCTATGGACAAAAATTCGGCGATAATCCGCAAACCTTCTAGCATTTTTAAAGATAATAGCCGTAAAAGCTTAAAAAGCGTTAGCCAATAGGAAAATTGTTGGCATTTCGGCTCAGATCAAAGAAATGCGCTACTTTTATTAATATAGAGCTTTAATGTAATATTGGCTTAAATCGTGCCTTTATTACTGTCAACTGAATGGCTATTACGAGAAACTACTACAATCAGAGATAGAGGAAAGCTCATAATAATCATAGTTTGTAATAAGCGTCATAATTGAAGTGCAGTGATTGTCCGCCGAACTATTCGCTAACTGTCATCACTGAGATAGCGCGGCATTGTATTGAATTACAGCAATCGAGATTCAGTTCAAGGATAATCAAGGCATTGATACAAAGAAATAAGAGATTTCTCGTGTCGTAATCACTGTAAAAATAATCGATAATAAATTTTGTTCACGTAGTTAACGTTTCGCCCGATTTAATTAATTTGTTTCGATCGAAATTATTCTAACAAAACTTGTGAAGCTAAAATAAGCAATTATTTTTTGCTGAAGAAAATTAGTGGCTTCTTTTTCCTTCATGGAAAATATTGTATTTTAAAGACATTCTATATACAAAACGATCAATTACGTACATTATTCTATTCATCTATTTATGGGATACTGTTACACGTATAACGCTATCGATAAAGGGATGAAATGAACCGAAATATCCTTTTGCATTCTATTCTCAGCGTTTCTCAGTTGTTTTACGCGTTGATGGCGTCTGTTTCGAGTAAACGGCATAAAGATAGAACCGAAATCAAGGCCGGTTTCGCTTTATTACAGCGGTGTTCGAACGTGCTATCGACTGTTTGCGCTTTAACCGTGCTTTGACAAAGGCTAACAGCAACGAGAACCTCGTTGTTCTTGCAGGTCGCAGTTTGTTGGGTTCTCTTTATTTTTAACGATGTTTTTATTTCCCCAGTGACATTTAGTATTTTTCATTCTACAATATAATATTCTTACTACATGAAACAGGCAATCCTGCGAAGGCAACAATTTGCGACACACAGCCCGAGCAACGAAAGGCCCGTGTTCTTTCGATAGCTTTTTTCGATTTCTTTGTACGTATTAAGCTATTTTGTTATTTATGATGCGCACCACAAAGAGATGTCGAACATTCAAAATATATCCGATAGAATACAGCTTGACAAGGTATCGACAAAAATAAGCGAGGTGAATCTTGTCAAACTTAATGGTTGTAATTGGATTTGCCATGAGAGTACTTCATTAAATTTATATGAAAAACGAAATAGAAACTTTAAACTCTGGATATCCAGATGGCAAAGTTTTGATAGAGAAGTAGCAGATATTTTAATTAAAAGAAACTAAATTAAAAGATGAAACCATAAATTATCAAGATCAAATCATAATATTCTCGTGCCTCTCTTACTCTCGATTTATCTTTCTTAACAAGGAAAATTGAGAATTTCAAAATTTTTACGTTTATATACTTGTAGATGTAACAGTTCTTTAACACATAGCATTTTTTTTTATTTCGTCAAGTCACGATTCTCTTCGATAAATTGCGTTATAGTAACTTATACAGAGTGTTCTGGAAAATCGCGATACAATCGAGAAGAAGGATTCTACACGAAAAAATAAGTCGAAAACGTAGAGTAAGATATTTTTATATAAGACTTTGTTTTCAGACAACATTCTCAACAATTTATAAAGTAATAATATTCATCAAAGTAATAATGATGAATATCCTGTCTCTATTGTGTATTCTGAATCATTAATACAATACATACAAATATGAGCAGAGATAATTGAGCAGAGTCAATTTTTTCATAAGCCTCACATGAAAAAAATTAAAAAAGAAGACTGTTTTACATAAAGTAATAAAATTGTAATTGGGCACTAAGAATCCAAATGCAGTTTACAGAGTGTGCAGATATGTAATAACACAAAATGTTTATTTATTAAAACCCTTAAAATTCAATTAAAATTATCTTGCAAAAACAAACAGTTCAATTTCACTTTCGACCATCTTTAGCGTAAACAAAATTAATTAATACGAAAAAAAATATTCTATTACTTTCAGAAGTCTTTTTTTTAATCTCTGAAATTTTATAACATCTTATGGCTTATTTTTTCATGCAGAATTTTTCATTCCCTTCGCGATCGAACCACTGCCAATGTTCTTTTCCAGAACATTATGTATGTAGCACTTGTAATGCTTTGAACAAGGCGAGTTCTTTCTACGCACGCATATAAGAATATATTTATATGCGTTACTTCTCCAAGTCAAGTAAATTCGAACGAGACTCGAATACGACAGAAAATTAAATGCAGCAGTTACGTCTTTCTATACGTGATATTATATCGATTGAATTCCCTTTAGGATAATACCTATAATAAAGCTGATTCTTGTTCCCGCAGTGCACAGCAATTGAATCTGTCGGACCTCAATCGAGCGAGTTTGTATAAGTATGTTATTGTACATGAATGACGTACGCGTAACGAGGAGATCGATGTCGTCTGTTCGCGATGTGCAAGCGATGCAAGTTCAGCAACGCCTGTCAGTTCAGAACGCCGGTTATGATATAGTTTATCTCGTGGCTTCTTTACAGCCTTTTATCGGTGATACTCTTAACGATTATAAAACCGACGAAGTGCCATCGATGATCGTACCTTTTTGCATTTCACGATCGGTTGCGTCGAGAACCGAGCGCGAACATTGAAACATACTTTAACTTTTTATACCACGAGCAGAAGAATTAGATATGCTATTCAAGTGTTCGCTTTAAAAATTTCTAAGTAAATTTTCTTTTAAGATTTAGGAAAGATACATTTAGGAAAGAATATAATTATAAAATATTCTTTTCAGCGAATGTGTGGTTTAGTTCGTAAAAGCAATTGTTTTACAACATAGGCGTACAGTTATTTGTTACATTTTTGTTAAATTAACTTTACCATTAAAATCTATTATTTAACACGTTATCTGCTCAGCTAGTTTGTATATCTTATTTGTATATACAACAATTTCTTTACAAGTATGTAATGATAAAAATGTATTATATGTATAGTGTGTATTGAATTGTTTATTGTTACTTTACGTTATTTAACTTTTTATGCCATTCAAAAATTTTACATCAAATGGCATTTATTTATTTACGAGTGTTTCAAAAATTTCGATAACGTTGGTCACTTACAGTGACCATCAGAGCGCCACTAAAAGTCAAGCGCAGATCACCGACGACATTACAGTCAACGTGTCAACTACTGGAACGTGAATTAGGATAGCAATTTATTTCGTTATTAAAAAATTTTGGTTGTATTATATACAACATTTAGAAACAACTGATGATATAAAATTACCTTATAAGTTGATTATAGAAAGCTATACACATGTAACTATATTATGACTGAATAAAGTGACACAAAGCATCGATAATGTTATTTAAAATAAAATAATATTTTTAGTGAGGGAGCTTTAAGAATAAATCCAATGCAAGTAAAATGATTATGCAAGCCTTCGCAAATGTTGTTTGTGCATGAGATTAATGTTATTTGATACACGAAAGAACGAATAGCTGGAGTAATTATTTCATATAACAGCTGAGAGAATACACATACTGTAAGCAATGCATTTGATGCACTGACCTGTATATGTGTGGAGTGAAACCGACTCGGTCAAATATGTATATATTATATATATACGTAACGCCATATGAAACGAGTTATCAATAAGCAAAAAGTGACTGTAGTAAAATAATTTCGTTATCTTGTTTGTATTTTGTTTTAATATTTTATTTAATTTTTTTAAATTACTTTATTCCGCAAATTTGTTGAAATTTAAACTTTCCATTGAATAATATAGATATCCACTCAATAAACATATAAATTTAAATAAATATTTTTATACTTTTTTGACACTTGATAAGCTAATTGTATATAATAGAATTTTATATGTGGATTTCAACGAGTTAGAGTTAAAATTTGAACAACGCATTGCATTGTTCATCTTTATTCTTGTCGTTATTTATTATTGCTGTTATAACAATTCAACTGAAAAATGCATGACGCTGAAACTTCTCTCTGTGAAAATTTTGCTGCTGTTTTTTGATCATTGCTATTATGGTGAACGCTCGCGTGCGCAGTCACGCCGCCATTTTGCCATGATAGAATTATCACGATAATCAAGTTAAGTCCATTCGTGTAACTTTGTTAATGCGATAACGGGAACCGCTGCTCTCACGCAGACCGAACTATATGGGCAACGAACAACATCTCACCATCTCACTTATGATTGACACCACTGATTAAAATCCAATTGAGAACTATTAATGAAGCTATTAAATAATAAACATTGTGTACAGGCACGCGCGTGAATGTGGATAGAAGTAAACAAAACGCGAACTTGAATATGATTTTCTCCTTATGTCAAACAAATAAGATATCATAGATAAAGGAAGACATACAGTTTAAAATTGAACTATTTTATCTGATATCGATACAAGAAAATTGTAATCATAAATTGTTACAACAAATTTTACAAATTTTTCTTAAAATAAACAAAAATTCTAATAACATTTTAAACTAATAATGTTATAAGAATTAACATTTGAGACTATTTTAACATTCAAAAAATGCATTTTTTATGATAGAGAAAATAATACAATATTGATATATTTAAATAAATTTGATGTGATGTGAACATTATTTTATGAAGTAATATGAAGATAACTTTAATAAATGATAGTATCTCATAAGCCTCTCATAAGCGATATCTGTTGCCTGTTTCTCTTTAGGTGGAAGAATCGACCATGCTCACCATTACAACAACGCTTATCGCGCCCTGGATGAGACTCTAGCGCTGGAGGAAGCCGTTGAAGCAGTTATGAAGGAGGTCGATCTCACGGAAACACTCCTCGTGGTAACAGCGGATCACTCGCACGTATTAACTCTTGGTGGACTGGCAACGCTTCGTGGGAATCCCATATTCGGTGAGCCATCACATATATTTTGCCCTTATGTTAGTACATTGTATCAGCTTTCGAGCTTGGATGGAGCATTTTTGCTTCTTGGAATAGATGCATCAATAAATGTATCAATGAATAACTGGTTAAAATAATAAGAAAGAGAAAAAGATAGATTTTGAAAATGATTAAATAAAAAATTATATTCGTTAAATTTTTTTTATTTTGAACTATGAGATTAAATTTAAATTTTCCTTAAATTTATACAAAAATATACTATTTTTTAAGTGACGAAATAATGATTTGTTTATTAAATGTTTACATTAATTAGAAATTGATAATACTACAAATTTTTATTTTTAAAGTATATAATTTCCTATGATTACAAAAATAAATATAGATTTAGTGATTATTTATTAAATATTAATGATGGTAACACTTTATTTTTGCATCTATCTTATTTTGAATCCACAATTAAATTATATTCACAATAAATAAAAGATATAAATGAACATACACCTATCAGCACGATCTTGCTGCGTTCTTTTTTTTTCTGTAATTGAACTCGAAATATTTCGAGATTTCATATATAATATCTTGATATTTACTTTTTTTATTCGGATTTTTAATCGTATAAGCTTTAGAGGAAATACTGTATCTCTGTCTGAATTAATAAAATCTGTGCGATCCAGACGACCGGTTCCAGCTGTCGTAACTCTTCTCACTGTTTAAAAAGGAAGCGTTCCTTTCCATTGTTGCCTGAGCCTCGGCTTCCAATATCCGGGAGGGATGCGCCGGCAATCGACTTTTGCCCCGAAAAGCTGCCTCGCAGGAAACATTATTGAATCACCCGCGCGAATTAATCGAATGAATTGCCAGGGGTCTATGTTGTCGGCAAAGCTTAAGCGCAGCTTACACGGCGCTTTCTATAATCATTAGCCGAGTATAGGCAACTTAACCCAGAACTCGGTGCTTTACGATTTAACTCATTTGCGGAACTTTGACAAATTTAATAAACACTTTTGATTGTTTTGAAACCGTTGATTGCGCGTTTCTCCACGGAGTTGAAAAAGTAATAAGAAATAAACGATGATAAACAGCTATAAATAAGTTAGCAGATGCGACCACTTTTAATATTATACTTAAAATACACTTAAAATAAAGAATAAAAACAAGAACTATTCGTTAAGCAGAATATGACATTTAAGAAGTACCACGCTTATTGTCAGGATTTTTTTTAACATAGAACATGTCTTTTCACTTTCAAGTTACAGAAAAGTTGAAAAATTTTATTGGAAGGTGAGAGAATTTCAGGAAATATCGGAGCTGTTAAAGGTACATCGAGTACTTTAGAATTTTACAAATTAGTCCGCTAGTTAAACCGAAATACTTTTACTCTATAAAATAATGGTACCGTACTATAAGCTGCAAGTTCTAACACAAAAATGATAGTTATCTAGTTATCGCGCGGTTATCTAGTTTTAGCGTTTAACCGACAGTTCATTGAAATTCTATCAAAACTTATGCTTTGATGGATTATTTCCTGTTACAACTAATTTTCTGTAACATCCTGATAAAAGTGACTACCTTATACCAGGTTCCTAATCTCCGACAAAATCTCCACTAGCGCAATATATTTTTGCTGAACACTGAGGAAAATGTCTGATTGAAAATGGAACGAACAAGAAGTTTCTGATTATATCGGAACTCCGGTTCTCAAAATTTAGTAAATTTAATTAGCAAATTCTAATTCGTCCAACTAGAATTAATCCAACAAAACCTTTTCCTCGGTAAACTTTTGACATATTTTCGAAAACGCGCTATTTACCTACAAACGAAAATGTCGTGTGATCCACGCTTTATGGAGATCGTCTTTCGGGACGACTCACTCCTTCCGTTTATTTCGATCACTCGTTTCCTTCGCTTTTGCCGACTACTATCCAGTAAATGAGGCACAAACTTTAAAAATGCGTTTTGTTTCATTTGTTTAGTTAGAGATGACGTAGTGTTCAGTGTAGAATAACTTATATTATAACTCTGAGATGTTCAGAAAGCATTTTTTTATCGTTAATTTATATGCTGAAAAAACATAGACGTTTCAAATGCATTATGATTTTTTACTAAAAACAAACAAAATGCATTTGTTGAACATTTTTAGCAGTTATTAAGTAATTTTGTTTAATATATTTTACATTCTACTGATATTAACATATTATTATTTTCTGTAAAGTGCGTAGTTTCTTTTTTTCTCGTTTTTTGAAAATTACAAATTTTGAATAAAACGCATTTTGAAAGTCTGCTCCTCAAATGACGACATACCGATCCACGGCGAACGACGCGAAAATGTTCAATCGTCGGCAATCAAAAGTGAACTCTGCTCGTCCGTGACAACTTTTTCGCGACGTTAAATTCGGCATGACCGTTGTCTCTCCTTCGGTGTGTGTCGTAGTGCCAGGTGTTGACTCGAGATTCACAACGGACGTCAATGTTCATGTCGCAATTCAATACTGAATAAGCGACGCGAGCACACTGTTTTATGAGGACGCGAGCTCGTTCCCATCAAGTAGAGGAAGGTCCGTTCCGTCCTTTCCAGGAGGACAGTTCTGGATTCAATAAGATCCAATCTACTTGGACAACTTCATGACGGCGCCCGTCCGTTGACGATTCACTCAGTCGCGGTTAAATTGAATCGTCGGAAAACGTAAAGGATGGCTTTTTCGACTGACCGTACATGGAGTAGCAAAAGGGCTCGCCCGTCTAGTCTATCTGAAAGCGGCAATTGAAAAAAAAAATAATCCCGTACCGAAGTGCTTCCGTTTTCCGAAATTCACCGATCCAGAATATTATCGTATATTTTTGTATTTCGTTCCCACGGAATTGTCGGACATCCTGTTGTACCGTTGAGAAATTAATCCGGTTACAATCCGTTTGTATGACTTTGCCTTTACGAAGGATTATTGTTTTACGGAGCGAGTTATGTGAAATTTGATATACGCACTTTTATTTGTCAATTTTTATTTTACGCTGTTATTTAATTTTTATTTTGTTTTCTTTTTTTTGTAAACAATAAAAACATATATTCTCGTTCCAAAATCATGCGAAAACTAA